TGCAACGCACTTTAAAAATAGCTGCAAGTGCATTAAAACATTAAACATCATTCAAAAAAACAGCAACAACAACAATCTGGCTTAGGCATTGAACGGCAGCAATCCGGCTTTGCTAATTTCGGACTTCTGACGACCGGCCGGCTACTGGCTACCAGCTTCTTTTTATTTTAAGGCGATAAGCAGCCGGTGACTGGCTGTTAAGAGACTTAGCCGTTTTCTAGGCACGATCATGATTTAGGCATTCATATACCAGCGCAATTTTGCAAATACCACTCAGGGGCATTTATGCGCGAGCTGCAGCTTCTGCAAGGAGGCGGTATGCAAATTTGCTGTTGAACACTGTGCAACATGAATGGCCACGCCCATTTCTTTATGGTAGACAATAGCAATTGTCATGGGAGCATGCAACGTAACTAAGGAGCGCAAACCAACTTAAGGCTGTTGTAAAAATATTGATTCACATATAAACTCTTCGTACTCAAGCCAGTTGAAGAAAAATTAAATTTTAAGCACGAAAATTCATCTTTATAATGCTCAACGTTATTTCTGGCTGGCTCATTAACAATGTTAGATTCTAGATCTTATTTTGGTTAACTCCCTTACAAGGACAAATATATAAATCATACGGTTTTCCCTAAAATAAATTATTTTAGCTGTTTGTCAACGGGTTAACACAACTTACCATGTCCTAAGGCTTTCTGTAGTGCCAGTTTACTTGGTTACTGACGTAATTGTTGACAGTCAGAATTAAAACAGTTCTTAGTTACACTTTTCACAATTTCTTTTACTTCTCGTACTGCAAAACATCTCCAGAAGGCCATTATTCCGTTTCTTGTCGCAATGTTTCCCTGACAAATGAAAACAAGAAAACAGCAACACGTGTCCATTTTAATTAAAATAAATAAACAGGCGGAAACATAGAAATAAGCCAAATAGAAAAAACTACCATTCCCTGCACTAAACAGTCCAAACACCCAAATTGCGCGGTATGGGCGTTGCCCCAGTTCATGTTGCCATTACCATTTCCATTTCCATTTTCATTTGTTTTCAAAGGCAAATGTCAAAAATTGTACGTGCTATTAAATTTCATGCGTCTATTTGATTTGCCACTAAGGGCGCCACGGGTAAGGGGGCGAGTGGGATACGGACGGTCAGGCCTAAGGCAAAGGGTTTGGCAGAGACGCTTTCTCATTGCGTGGGCGCTCCGGGCTACATAATATGTTTTGGCTGCCTTCTTGTACTTGGTATATTATTTCTGTTATGAAACGTGCGTATTCGAATTTGAAGCGAATTATTATTTGAGCAACGGAAAAGCCCTTCAGGCCAATTTTGGCGCAACTGGAAACGTTTCTTGGAAAACCATAGCGCAACAACTTAATTTTTTTTTTGTATAGCTACCAATTTGCATGCGGCGTATAATTTACAATAAATAAATCAAATGCAAATCGCATAAATAGAAGACCACCAACCCCATTCATGGCTATTCCATTAGACGCCCAGACATTCACGGCGGAGTGTGTGAGTGAGTTATTAGCTGAAGCCGAGTCCATGCCTTGCCCTTTTATGAGAGCAGCCCTTTGTCTGGCCTGGATTAAGACCATTTATTTGCTTGTCATGTTGTGTGGTAGTCTTACAAAAGTATTTCCCATTCGAGCTGGCCTGAAGTCCGTTCAGCGAGTCTGGGAAAAAGCTTTAGAATAAGGCGATTCCACATTGCAGTCCAAGAAATCAAAATCAATGAAGATTTGTGGCACAATAAAGTTCAATAGTAACATGGCTTCCAGTTCATCCACCCCCTCTCACTCCCTTGCCTCGATTGCCAGAATTCATCAACTTTTGAGGCCACTGAATCCCCGCTTGGATTATTGAACGCCAAGTTGATGCAAACTTTAAACAAACCGTAAATTATTTAATATTAATTTGGAAACAGTTAAATGCCACTAAAATATGCTCTTGATTTTTGTGTCATAAGGCTTGGGATAAGTCTTAAGAAAGCTAATTAAACTTGCCACGAGTAAGAGTTCTTATGCCCCATTTCTTGTCAATATACATACCAAATTTAGAGTCCCCAAATCTTATAACCATAATCAAAGGGCTTGAGATGTTGCCGATTGTTTTTATCGCTTTCAGGGAAATGAGGAAGTATCGAGTATTTAGAATAGATCATAGAACCTGCGTTTATATATACCCTTAATCAAAAAAAGCATCAAAAGCATTTAGCTGCCCGCCTGATCGACGGTCTGTCCTTATGTATTTTGTTTCGAATCATTGATAACTAACTTTTCTATTTTAACGAAATCGATCAAATTAGATTTTCAAGTAAGGTTTTCACCATATCTTGGTGCCTTTAAGAGCTAGAGACAGAGTCTCGTACGTATCCAGGATATTATTTTTTCAAACTTGTGCCTGCCCCATCTAGAGGTGTAGACTTGGGCTGTGCTACATACATACTATTATATGACATGTTAAAGCCCTAAAAATGTCCTACAGATCATATAGTAATTTTGTTTTTTTTTTTTAAGTTTTAAGATCAGTTCAGGATTGGCTTTAAAGCGCGCTGCAGACTTCCTATTTGCAATCTAAGTGGAATTCACTGCAACTTTACCAAGGTAGATAAAGCTAACATGAACAGGGGAGAAACGAATTTTATATTTCTTGCGTTGAAGAAATGGATATTATCAAACGAAATGCTCGAATCCAAAACCAAAGCTTATATTGGCTTGCGTTGGTAATAATTTATTGGGTTGCCTATACGAAAGATCTCGGAAGATATATGACGTCTTGCCTTTAAATATAAATGCTTATTTTTGATTGATTCAATCAAAATGAACGAAATGAACGAAGATCGTTGGAGTACGCTCAGTCCATGTACACATTTAGTTGGGAGTAATCAAGTTTTCTGCATGCCTGTCACGTAATTTATTGATTTAGCTCTTGGGAATACGAAACGGCGATTCGAGGCACCAAAAGCAAATCGTAAAAAATGTTTGCCACCGCGCTGCCTGAAGCCTCCAGCAGGGGACGGGGAATGAGATGGAGGAAAGTGGCCTGGCGTGAGCCTGGCCGGCTGATTGGTTCATGTTGATGTGATCATAAGGCTGGCGGCTGCAAATTCAAATGCATTGGGCAGATCTGCGAGTGCAACTGCGTAAAGGTGGGCAGCCATTTACGCATGAACGCCTCGAACGATTCACCAGGCCCGGTCTTCGACTTCGACTTCGACTTCAACTTGGACTGGATAGTCTGCCTGCGATTATCGATCAGCAGACGCGAATGAAGATAATGGCCGACTTGCCATTTTGCATTTTTGCATTTGTAATGAAACTAAAAACCAGAATGAAATGTAATTTTTGAACCAAGCAGCCATATCCACAACCAAGCCGCAGCAGCACACAACAACAAAAAATACAGTCGCACAGCATAGTTGATCGACATGCTCTTATTGAATGCGAACTAAAAGGCGCATTGAACTTTTGGAGTCGCACAGAATCCACATACATATGAGAAGATAATAAGCAGATAGTAAGGGCTTAAATGATATAATTATGTATCCATATTAAGTTGTATATATTTTAAGTAAGTTTCGGTTTTGTGTGCCAAACAAATTTCAACATTTTATTATATCGATTTTTTTTTATTTTTAGTGATTGTTCGCTCAATACAGAAAACACAGACTTATACTCACTTTCAAATGCATTGGTTAAAAAATGACTTTCTGAGATATGGCTCAATTAAACAAAAAGTAAATAAAATAAAACTCTGCCCATAAAGCCAAATTTGAAATCCTATTCTACTGTTCTTAAGCCCTATTACCCTATGCAAATTAACTAAGAAAAGTAGGATTTAAATTCACCTGCCCGCTTTAGTGCTTATCATCAGATCTAAATGAGATTTTTGGTATATGCTCGAAAACACTGCTCGTCCTGATCAAGAAAATATATAAGCTCTTAAATTCATCCAAATGTCAACAGACAGATAGATAGTAGTGTAAGATAGCTGTATAAGACACATGTTGATTTCTAGAAATGTAAGCAATTATCGAAAGTCAGGTTTGTGATGTTGTGCAGAGCGGACATATAGAAACCGCGGACTCAATAACTCGATGAAAGTTGAAATAATAAATAATTAAAGGCATGGAATGCATGATACCATCCTGACAAATAAAACCATTCTGTGACGCTTTGCACATGCTAGCACAAGGCTTCCTAAAAAGACAAAAGAGTATAAAAGCTAGTTTGTGAAGAAACAGGCAAAAAAGCGGAAAAAGCTATATCGACTCAACCTGTCAGATACAGTCTTGGATAGAATTTGTTTAAAATGCTTTCTATATATATTTAAGCAAAATTTACCTAGAGAACGACTTTAAATTTTAACTTACCCGAGCCCGATCCTATATAATATATCATGCCTTTGATCGCGTCGATATCGATTAAGGTCATAATTGGAATTCGAGAAGTGCAGATCATGTTCACTAGAAATAAATAGATAAATATCGCTCTTTAGATTCAGTTTATTGGGTAAATAATTCTTTTTTTTTACACTAATTAAGAGTATATAAACTGTATAAGGTCGGACATGTCACATTCTTTGCGCTACAAATTTCATAATAAAAACACAGGATTCCTAAATCGTATTGTTTTTTCTTAACATCGTACAGCGGCGATTGTGTTCGTGACACGTAAGACTACACGCTCTCATCTCTAATGAATATATGCAACAAGTTGCACAGTAAATTGCAGATAGATAGATAGGCAAGTAGATGGCCTTTAAGAAAGAGAAGAACTTCCAGGTAATTTGCAAAATGGCTACATCCTAGTAGAGCAGAAATTCTGTCTAAATTTCCAGCGCATTTCATTTCCATTGAAATTTTACCTTACCTGAGAGGTGAGATCAGCTTTTTAATGAAGCAATGGTAAGTAGGTAGGCAGGTAAACACATTTGATGGTTGAGTTTTGGTTCTGCTACTCTACTTTATTTATGCTGACTTTGTTTCCTTACAGCGTTCAGTCGATGCCGAAGCACAACTCGAGGATGTTGGTCGCGTTCTTGTTGCTGAACCTTTTCGTGTCCAGCATGCAGGACAATGCAACTGTCTCTGAGGAAGCACCTGCAATATATACCACCAAAGAGGGCTGTGAGTCATTATTGAAGAGTAACAATGAGTGCGAGTGCCAGGATAAGCGCATCAAGTGCGGTATGGTAACTCTTAGCAGCTCATCCCAGCTCTACAGTATCAGTTGCAGCATTTTTGATGTACGCGGCTTTGGTTACTTGCCACCTCTCAAGGCCGGTAGCATTGGTCGGCTAAGCATCGACAACTGCGCAATACCCAACCCGCAAACTATACGCAGCCTGCTTTTGAAGCTGGGTGTTAGTAACTACACCGAACTGGAGGTCTCCAACTACTTTGAGACGCGCGACGAGCGAGATGAGCTGCTGGAACAACATTTTACAAATTACCCCGGGCTCAAAAAAATCTCTTTAATTGGGTTTAAGGCGATGCTACCCGCAAATTTTTTCGAGAATGTTACCGAGATCACCGAACTCACGCTAAAGGGCAGAAGTGATTTGCCAGGCACATTGCTGCATCCTCTCAAACATTTGACGAGGCTATCAATTGTTGTCAGGAATATGGCTAGCGTGGCCAGCGAGATTTTTGCCAAGCAGACGGAGTTGCTCCAACTGTCGCTTGACTGCTCGCTAAAGAACAGCAGTGTGGATATGTCCTTGCTTAGCTCAAAAGAGTTGTGGCACATGACCAAGCTCCGCGGCTTCGAGTTGCACAACTGCGGCGACAATGTGCCCGCCGAGCTATTTTGGAAATCCGAGAATCTATCCTACATTGGCATTCGTAGCAACATTAGTTATCTGGGCAGGGATTTCCTCAAATCGCAAAAGCAACTGCTGATGCTACACTTAGAGCGCAACAACATTGCCAGGCTACCGGACGAACTTTTCCACCACTCACCAATGCTGCTTGAAATTCACCTGGCCCACAACAATTTGGATCGCATACAAGGGTAGGTCCTCATGTGCTGATAACCTTCTTCTTGCTCTACAATTCCACACTGTTCTTTTCTTACTAGCGGCCTTTTCAATAAGCTAAAGAATCTCTTGGTCTTAAACCTGGAGCACAATCCAATTACAACTGTTGCGTCCAATGCATTTTCCGCTGTGGCCTCGGCTCGCATTTATATTGGAGATCTGTTTAAGCAACTAAATAACGCAGATTGGGCGCGATCCACGAACGCTACGCTATGCGAGGAGGAGTATATCAATGGTGTTTGCCTCTACTGCAAACGTGACGAGTACCTGGATCACTTTTCAGCGAAGGAAATATGCAACAAGCCTAACGATCCTGGAAAACTGATTGAGGTCCTCAATCGTAAGGTTTTCGAACATCGCCTTCATCGCCTCCACATGTCCTAATCGACTCCAAAGCAAGAGAGTGAGTATACAAATCTGATGATGATTTCATACAATAAGCAAATCTCTTGCCTTTTCGAAAAACCCATTCCCCAGGGTAGAAATCGGTGAGAAGACTGTATAGAATATATTTCAATTTTTGTACAATCGGGCTAATAATCGGTTAGCTTAAGACAAAACACCCAATATTTTATTATTTGCATAAATCGTATAAGTGCCTGCAAACTCATTTTTGTATATTTTTTGATAAAAAGAATTAAAGGCGGGTGGCATTTTGTAGTCAAGCACACCCGACTGCAGCGTTCTTACTTGTTATTAACAGAGTGTATAGAAGCCATTTGGATATGACTGTTGTACAACATTACTGGTAAAATCAATTTTCTTTCACATTTTACAATATTAAATTTACTCTAAAGCAGATTCGCGCTTTGAAATTGAAATAAAAAGGCATCAGATACACAAACAACATTATTATTTTTTGCTTTCTTTAAAAGGCGAGAGGGAAGTAATTCCTTGAAAAAGTAGGCTAGGGAGACTGCTGGGAAGTCAACACCATATTGTTGTGTATAAATCATGAACAAAAACAATTTATCTTCTGATTTGTGGCAAGGGATGGTGCGGATAAAATATACAAAACTTTGCGTTTGTTCATCTGTTACTGTTTCATTAATGGAAACGGGCGCGATATGTTAAATCAAATAACGCCTTACATTTTTTTTGAGTAAACTTTGTAAGCAAAGTTTTAATTTTGTAGAGCAATAGGGTAATGTATGCAGGTTAACTGAACTACACAAAACAGCAAAATAACCGATTTAAGAATTCAAATTAGAGTCAGACGCGTGTCGTTTACATGCTTAGCTTGTATGAAGTAATATGGAAACAAATAAGAATTCTCTAGTCGGGATTGCAAGTCTTAGAGATACCCTGCAGTCGGCATTCGATCATCCTTCTATAAAAACTCACAAAAACACACCTTTACGCCCCTACTCTAGAGCTAGAGTCACCAAACCTTACATGATTCTTCTAGAATAGTATATATATATATATATATATCAAGTATCTTTCATTTTATAACTATCGCCACCCCATAGCCATAAATCAAGTGGATAAACCAATTTGTATTGCCCATCAATTTAAGCCACAATTTTATTGAAATTGTCTTTTTGAGAATACACGAATATTCTATAGCACAATAATATCTACATTTCACAATTTCATTAAGATCGGTTAAGAAACACAAAATTTATTAAAGAAACCGTGGTTTGGCTGGCCACGAGTTTGCGGAAGCCAGCGCAAATTGCAGGAATTTCTGCATACATTTACACACGCACTTTCATGCGCGTCATTATTGATTTCTATCTACAGCATTGCAGGTGCGATTGTATTGTATTCTTTGCTGTGTATATGTGATGCTATTTTAATTCGTGGCAAAAGAGGGTATCTCTTAGTCGAGAACTCTCGACTAGAGCCTCTTACTTTTTTTTGTGTATAACATTATCAACAAACTATAGGAAAACTATAGGATTAAAACGCATTATCCTCTTTTCGAAGCTTTAACTTGTTGGGAATTGCAAGCGTGAAGTAACAAAATAAAGCAAAGCATTTCTGAACGTCTTAGCATACAAACGAATTGAAGTAGAAGAAATAAAAACTTAACTTCAAACAAATATTATATAAAGGATACTCAAAATGTCCTATTTAAGTTTCAAACTTGCAAAAAAAGAGGTGGAGAAAGAGCGAGAGTGTGTGTGTGTGAGTGTGCAACCAAAGACATGCGTCTGTACGTATGTATTAGACAATATATTCAATATCAGTTTCAAGTCTGCGTTTGAGTCACATTTTACTGCGTGTTAATGCATGCCATAACTCATCGGCTTAACGTGTGCTTTCTGGGACTGCACACTTTTAGTTCGCGGCGGCACTCTAATCTTAACTTGCTGTTTCAGGTGCCACTAATAAAACGCACGGCAAACTGACGCCACCAGCATACAGTAGGCTGAGATCACCGTACTACAGAAAATGCATTTATTCCGATTGTGTCACATACATTGTCCATCGGGATTTTCTTCCTTGCGAGCGACTAATTTGTCGTGGGACACATTGCACTGATAGGAGCTCTGAATGGTAGGCTAATATTGAGGGCGGTATTCTTCAGAGTACAGATGTGTGTTGAGTACCAAAGAATATACAATATATGGAAGGGACATATTGCACAAACTAAAATGTTGTATGGCCGGTTCTGCTAGCAACCGGCTCACTGGACAGTCGAGCCGGATAGACGCACTATTAAGGTAACGCTCAAATCCATCCAGTAGAAAGCATCTCCTTCTACTGATAGTATAAGTAGTCTTGATCTTGTTCAACGATTTGGTCAATCTAGGCATGTCTCTTTTTTCTCTATCTAACAAAGTGTATAAACACTTTGAAAGAATCTATATATATGAATTCCTTAATATGTGTGACTATATATCAGATTTGGAATATATTTTCTACATGCAAGAAAAGTACATTTTTATGATGATTTCTCATTCGATACTTAACTCTGTTTTAGATTCTGTTAGTAGTTAATTAATGCATTTATTTCCCGAGCTATAACCTGTTAAATTTAAATTCGCCTTGCAGGAATAATAACATTTTGGACCCCATCTAAATCCGCAACTCTTGCTCTAGATATATACTTATTTAAGAGGATATGTTGAGTAACTTTTTTAAGTATGACACACGGCGAGCTTGATGAAAGTTCACGTGACTAAAATAAGGCAATGTTTCCATCTGGTAGTATTAGGGAGTATGAACAAATGTTATGACAGTAGGGGGCATCCTTTATCTGAGGCGTCTCGACTGGAACACTGAATTCTTAAGCTGCGTTTTTAATGTTCCTATTCGATTGTATTGCAATCCCAATATTCAAAACTAACATACATACCGTACAAATGACACTCGTGGTTGTTTAGAAACATAGCTGTGTAGCAGTATCTGGCGGATTTATTTCAAAGCAATACCCGGTGAACGAACTGCAGCCTTATAAGCTGCGTTTATCGCTTTGTAGAGGGCAGACGACAACAGCAGCCAGGAACAAACAAACGAAAAACACAACCGCCGTATATGAAATTTATGGGCATCAACGTTCATTTTGAAGCGGGCCCCCGACTGGTGGCCGAGCGTGGATGAGGACGTGGATTCTGTCGACGAGTCCCGTGTTGGCTGTCTACTCGTATAGCTAGTCAGTGGCTGGCTTGGCATTTGTAATGCCTAAATGCTTTGGCGAATTGATTTTTGGTGTAAACGATGTGCAATTTTAATGGATTGTGCTGCCAGATAAGAAACCCATGCAAAGGCTGGGCCTTAGACTTGGGCTTGGACTGCCGCTTGCCTGGCCGCCACTTGGCCATTCCGTATTTCGTGTCGTTTAATTGAATTTGTTTTGATTAGTTGTAGCTCTGCGATGTTCATATGGATGCGCAGCATTTTGCAAATAAAACTTAAAGTGTTTGCCATACGGGTATGCGTTGACAGCAAACAAATTTAAAGTCCGCCTGTCGAAAATGCAAGCTCTTCGTTCGTTTCCCGCTCAATGTGATACAACAATCTTTATAGAAAAAAATAAATGTATCATCATGCTGTTAACCTTTGTGCCTTGAGGCGGCTTGCCGACAATTTGACATTGTTCATATTCATAACATGGGAGCAAAAATGCAAACCTGCAAACTGACAAAAAAAAAATGCCAATTTAAATATTTTCAAATATTTTAACAAGGCATGCGAGGAAGCCGTGCTAATTTGCCAAACCCAAGCGTGTGCGAAATAAAAATTTTTAACATTTTTGGGCCAGCGGCATAAAAAAACATTAAGTGTAAAAGGTGAAAACTTTTTTAATTAATTAAGCGTCCTCTTCAGCTGCATTTTTTACAGCGTGAAAACACACAATGGTAAAGATTTCGGGCATATCGTAAAACATTGAATTTATTCTGAAGCTAGGATTAGTTAGTTCACTGTCTGGTATCCCAAACAAAAGTCAAGTGGCACAGTCAATTTGAATTCGAGAAACAATGAAATGCAACGTCCTGCAGTCTGGCTTAAATGAATGGCAGGATAAAAACCCGGCATCCAAAATGCAGTCAATGCAGTTAACTTGTTGATTTTTATAATACTAGTCTACAAACAAAATTATTTTTCAACAGTACTTACATAAAAAACTTTGAAATGTTGTGCCAAAAAATATGTAGTGCATCGATAAAGTCATCTCAGATCCAGAAAAGTATCTCTTTTACTGATTAAGTTGATTTAGCTTTGTTCATATGTTCGCCTATTTCGATGAATTTCGACCCAGGTAAATATAATCCTAGGCATCCAGAAAAAAATGAAAAAATTATAAAATAGAATAAATTGACCATATTGAATTGACCAGACTTATATTTTAAAGGCTAAAAATTCACATAAAAATGTAAAAATAATTTAGATTTAAGGACTCCATTTACATTCGGCATGTGCAGATGATGTAATGCAGCTTTAACTTTATTCGACGATTTGCTTCTCCCTAAAAATAAAAGCGCTACAGAAGTGTTATTTACGTTTTACCGATTAAGAGTTGCATATTAGATATGAAATGGCATTCGGCATCTAAGGCGCAGACAAAAGGCGATGTTTTGTAAGCTAGTGTAACCTATAATTGTGAGCCTCCCAGAGCCTTGCAATTTCAATTGTTTGTCCGTAAAAGTCAATTTGTGAGCTGACGCAGAGCCTGTGTGCATTTCAATTAGAATAAGATTGACAGCTAAGCACGGGGTTGTCCAAGAGCATAACAATGGATGTAGCCCGGACTTCAACGAGGCTCCACTGACACTGTGCGATAAGGTTAAACGCCTTCCCAAGACAAATGCACTTGGCTTGTGGTTTTCCGGATTTAATTGAATTTAATTGATTTGCGTTTGTGCGAGGGGCAAACATAGAAGTGTTTTCGTTGGGATTGGTTGCTCTTGGTCGTTGGGCTTGGTATTAAAGTTGTATGCACACTTGAAATAAACAAATTTTGCACAGCATAGAAGTAAAAATTTGAACTGTCAGCATTGGGTAGAAAAATGATTTGTGCTGGAATTGTAAGAGCTTAAATTTTTTAATGCTTCACATACTCCAACAGGCGTACTTACTGAAGCCTAAGTTAATGCAATTATAGCCTACATATAACCAATGATTTCATAAAAGCCTAAGTAAATATCAATTAAATAAAAATGTAAATTCAATTAGTTAAATTAATTTGGCTTTATACGGTACTAAAAATTAATATCTATTTTTTCAGTTTTCCATGAGTGACAAATGCAAAAAAAAGGGACACCAATTATATTATAATTAAATATTATCTTAAGTCTACTTCTAATTGGAACGCATAACTAGGTTTACATCGTCAAAATGTTTATGATTATCAAACTGTTCTATAAATAAAGATCTTCTTCTGATTTATATTCAACCAACACATTTTCAGCTATTGTGTTATTGATACAAGTGAAATTCTTAAACTGCTGTAAGTCTACCTCATTATAAGATATTTATTTTTACTTACTAGCCGTTTGCCGTTACTCTTTCTGCGTGCGTGCAATTGCAACTGTAAGTATAAGAAAGAAGAAAGCATCTCCACGCACACACACATCGATAAATATCGATTTTTAGACTTGGTTTTTATGCATAACTCGATCATTTGAAGACCTATATACACCGAACTTGGTGTATGGGATCTTGTATACCTTCTGCGATTCCCACAAACACATAAATGCGAATAATTTAAATAAGTTAAAATCAGTGTGCTTTGGTATACGTATAGTGTACGCATGTATGTTATAGTATTTATGTGCATAGAAGAAAGTTCGCATGAGTTCGGTGTATATCCTAGTTGGATCTTAAATTAGACCATAATATATAAACTTACATCTTACAAGTAGAATGCTTAACAGTAAACAGTAATGTGAATCAGTAGTGTCGTGAGCTGAATTAGATATATAATCGATTGAAAATCTAGAATATGTTTAGTATACATAAATATGCATGCCGTTAAATACGTACATATGTTCTTTTACTTACTTGAGTCTACATTCTACTATAAATCAACAAAGAGACATACCATTTTCTATGAAAGAATGAAACTAATATTTGCCAATATGCCAAAACAAAACAACTAACATAAAATCACAATAAAATAAAACAAAGCAGAACGGCTGGCTTTCAAAGGGAAGCATTCCTTACATCACACACACACACACACTTTGGGGATGAAATTGAATGTTAGGACAATCGCTGGCGCTGTGCTGAAAGCTTTTTCGTAGTCTCCATTATACCTTTGTCTTCTGCACGGTGTTTACATGCTGATTTTTTGGCACGCGATATCCTTTTGGTACCTCCGCTGTTTGCCGTCAAAATGGTCCTGCATTTCTATTTTTTATTGTTTGTCGGGTTGTTTGCTTCTGGTAGACTAAGAAATTCCCTGACACCTTTGTTTACACTATGGCAGTATGGCAGGCCTGTAGAGGTTTTCTCTATGAGCATGCTTTCAAAATGTTCCACGTAATTGTTGCCACTGCATTGTTCGCCAAACAAAAGGCCGGCGTGCAATAATAACATTTTTCGATTCGCATTAGTTTAATTTATTAGCTGCTCGCATTTGAAAACCAAGCGGCAGTATACATATTGCTGTCTGATGAGTAAATACGTATCCGATTTCAAATAGTCGGTCTTCGAATATAATGCTCCATTGGGCGTCCAATCAAATGCAGCTAGCTGCATATGTAGCTATTGTATTCAGCCTGGGCAAGCCGCAACATTCACGCTTAAACAACTATTGAGTTTAACATGAACCCATAGAGAATTAGTAAAAAGTGTATAATGGTTTTGTGCAAATGTATAAAGAATTTAAATTCCAACACAGCACCAACATAGGAGTTGACCTAGCTATGTCCACCTGACTGTCTATCCGTTCACCTACCTGGACGATCGCGTCGATCTTCGAGACGAAGAATTTTGAACGTAGCTCCTAGCTTATGCGCAGATCAAGCTAGCTTGCCCCATTTTCATGCCATCGATAAAATCGATATTTAAATCTAGCATTTTTGGCAGTAGGTGTCAAATTATTGTCTCTGAGTCAAATCAATTTGGAAATATAAAATTATCAATCGAGTTAAATTCAAATTAAATCTTTTAATAATTGGTAATTTTCAGCAGTTCTGCTTGAAGTGCGCAGTTTTGTAGTTATGTGTATACTAATATATATGAATAAGTGGATGAATTACAATTTGTGGTCATAAGTTTAACATTTGCAATCGTACTGATTCGTCAAAAATCGGTTGTGGCAATTTAATTGTATATATAAATTTATATTTATATTAACCCATCGGCTAGCTTACAAAACAACAATAGGCAACCAACCATAAAAAGAGCAAATGGCAATAATACAAACACATAAAATATGCAATGTTTGTGTGACCAAGTTCCCATCCCCCAACCAGCACAACCAATACATAAGCATCAAATTAGCTAAACAATTAAAAATGCTTGAATGCATTTAATTAATTTGGTGATTGTTGGTGCAAATATGACGATCTAATCAAAAATGCAATCCTAAAACATTTGGTGGAAAATAATTAAAATTATCGAAGCAGGCAAATCGAACAAATCAATAAATACATAGAACAAAACAAGAATTTAAAATTACAATTGAGACAAAAACAAACAATTCTACATTGTAATAAGGTTATTAATAAATAATGGATTAAAGTTATTTGCAAAACGTTTTTTTAGTCCATTAATGGGTTAATGGGTTCCGGTCGACCAACTACACCAGCAAGACCTTTACCAGCATACACAAAAATCTTATCTGTGTATGCACCGATTCAACAGATTTTTTATTTTGGATTAGTACACTTAACATACCGATTCTTTACCATTAGCTTTCATAAGCTCTTAGATATGCTCAACAAAATAAGATTCACATACTAACTGAGGTCGAAGGTCGCAATGTGATGGACCCTAGACTGACGTTGCTAGAGCGACTCGAATGTTTATTCTGATGAAGAATATATGTAGCCCCTTCTTCCTGTTAACACATAACTATTATATCCTACTTACTCAGTTTTAATGATTTTAGGGTATAAAATACGGCTAAGGCATTCAAATAGATGTAAATATTTTATCCTAATCATTAACAGATTTTCATAAGCATTACGCTTCATTAACAAAATTTTAAATCTTTCATTTTGCAACTATATTACTTGAAATTAAGAAAATTATTCTATTTTTTGCGATTATTTTAAGATTTTTTATTTTTTGCCTCCCTTCTGTATTTCCCTAATTGCATAATAAGGCATCGCTTAAAATATCAATCTTAATAATAATTTTAGTCGATAGAGAGACATTTTAAAGTTTCTAACGGTTTTGCCGATTTAGATGATTTCCCTGTTATCCAAAATTCGGACTATATAAAGTCACAAAAATGTTACCCAAATTTTCTGGCTGTTAAATTTTAATTATTACACAAATATAAATTAAATAGATTAATTGTTGGTAAAATCGTTTTCCGTGCTCATTGCTGAGTTGAACGGAAAAGTCCAAGTTTCAATTTTTTACCAATTTTTGGACAACTCCAATTTTTTGCTACAAAACTTTGTCAAAACTATGTTATCAAAAAAAAAAAAACCATGCTGTCTACAAACCTGTTGATGTCATACAAATTAAATAAACATATTTGTTCGTATTCAACTAGAATGTTTTATAAGATCAGGAAATTCCTCATTGTATGAACAAGCATAAGCAACAAAATACCAAAAAGAACCATAGCTACATTCCGACGTCACTAAATTTGAGATATAGAAAGTAAGTGTAAGTGAAGCCATAAAAACAGGCATTTTGTCTTATTTTTTTATTTTGCCCTATTCGCATGAAAATTGACTAGTAGAAGTCACAGATAATATTTTTGCTTGGACCTTTAAGGAGAAACTAAATTTAGGGCATCATACCAACTTGCTAAGGAAGATTCCAAGGACAATAGCAAACCACCCCAATGCCTTACAGACAAACAGCTCATAAAAACACAGCCATTAAGACGTTTTAATTCCTGATTTTGCACCCCACTGAGAGCCGAGAGCCCCAGCAATGCGCCCCAACCACAATAGCGACCAGTTTTAGCTCGAAGTTAGCGACCTACGCGCTGTCAATTTTTGTGCTTAATGCTTTGATGCACGCCAAATGTTTGTCGCCTCGCGTAAGCTAACTTTTATACCCTTGAAGAAAAGACAACAAAACTGTAGCATAAAGCTTGACACATATTATACAATCATATATTTTTGCCATTAAACAATATTTTATTGATGTTCGTTAACATTTAAACAATAAAAAACAAGAATTATAATATTAATGTCACATTAATTCTACTTTTTTTGCTTTCACGCTAAGTATGCAAAAAATTACTAATTGAAAATAAATATTGACAATAATTATAAAATATATTTTTTAACATTTACTTTATATATATTTTATCTATATATACACTAAGCGACAAGCATGGAATAACCAAATGTAGGCAAAGTCTTTTAAATCAAACAGGGTATATAGAGTTCTGCGTAACAAGATGTACTTTATTTTCCATTCGTTTTTTAATTTTTTCATTTTTATGCCGTTGAGGCTCATTAGATTTGCAAAATGTTTTGATGCTAGTCCTGCAGTTATTCGGGAAGTCAATTTTCTTATTAGATTATTGTTCTTGGCTAGGGCAAACCAAACCATCGAATTGGATTAATAAGCGCCATTAAATGTATATATTAAGAGTGTTGTATTTCAATTCAATAATTTGTGACTGTAATTTGTATTTATGGTATCATTTTATGCTACATTACTGACAAGTTATGGATATCAGAGCAGAGAATTTATGCAAGAGAGAGACTGGACTGTGACTGGACGGAAACGAAAATAAACAAAGCACACGTAACATTGTGAAAACATCCGTTTGAAAATCTCCCGTCTGTGTTTTGGTCTTCGACAGTCGCATGCGAAGGGGAGTGGTATTGTGGGAGGTGGCCAACACTTAACAAACAAATTTCGACAGCAATTAGAGAGCAGAGTGTGTTGCTTCTGGTCTTCTTTTTTAATATAAATGAAGCGAAATTAAAAGGCAACTGTTGACAAAGGCAAAGTTAAAATCGCCATAAACCAGCCCCTAATGGTCATATGTAAAAGTCCGTGGTCAGCTACCAAATATTCAACTTCAATATGAAATGTGACGTTGGCGGCATCAAAGCCTCGCACGTGCCTGGGCGGAGGAGGTGTGACAGCAAATGCGTTTGACACCTTCCAAAAAGGTCACAAAGGAACTCAAACAATTAGACAGTTCAGGCTGCTGACCAGCTGGCCATAAGTGTCAACTGACAACTGTAACTCCCGAGTTTCAACGCCAGGCCAACCCAACAG